CATTTCACCAAGTGCAGTTCCACTTCTTTAAAATCATCAGAACATGAGATCAGTCTTTATCTGATTACTGTTAACTCAAATGCATTTCTCCTAGACACTCTTCCCAAAAAATCAGTCTTACACTTGAACATAGACAACACAGATGTGTTAAAATCCTTTCTACATTTACCTATCAGTTTTATAATTTAAAAAATCACTGAAGAGGCACTTTCAACCTGTCACAATCAGAGTCAAAATAGCATTTCTATTTTCTAGATTTTTCCACACATATACTAAGTTTTGCAAAAGTACCAGGTACAATGTTGTTTTTTCTTTTTCTATTCTGTACAGTAATGTCACTGTTGGTCAGAGGCACAGGTGCTGTTAGCAAGGCAGTTCTGTATTAAAGAATCCTGCACCACAGATGATGGGTGAGCTTGTGCATTAGCTGATAGAAGAACTGTATAGTCTCTGATCATTATAATTATCTGACATACTAACGGCATCCATGGGCTACATAGAGGCTCGAGGTATGGTTTAAATGTGTGATAGTTGGATGTCCGAATCCTCACTAGATAGCACTTGATGTCAAGAAGGGCATTGCACCAACTGAATAATCATTGCAGACTAACTTTTAAGTCACATTATTGCAATTCAGCATGCACTCTTGTTATGTTCTTCTGGATTACTCTTGAGAGTCCATTGTCAGGCGAATACAGCAACTGCATTTTCAGTGACATCTAATCAATTTGCGACCTTCTTCTTCCACTGGTATGACGTACAGAAGATTTCTTCAAAATGATTCAGCAGCATTCACAGTCAAATTCTTTCTTGAAGTCTTGTAGTATGTCCCAAGAAAAGGTTTCACAAAATACAGCACCTATAAATTAACCTATGACACAACAATTTAGATAATGCATCTATAATGTACCATGAGATGTTTTCTTTGACAACTGAGGTATCTGTTATTAACTGTTCAGTATGGGTAAAAAGTAGCTGCCATACAAAGAAATGAACAAGAAAATACAAAGATAGGTCTATTACTATTCATGTACATGGATTTAGTAGCTACGACACTTAAATTTGTACTGTAGTTACAGGGAACTCTAAAACTATGTGGATTATGACTAGTAGTTGTACTATGAAGACAGCACTTGAAGAGCACACCAAGTATACCCATTTTTCAAGAGAGAAAACAAATAAGTGATTAATATCACCTTCTATAGAATGCCATCCATTCAGTATCATAATGAAATTTTCATAATTTCTCTTAATCCAGATATCCTTTTTCTCTCTCATAACTGTTTGAACAATAAAACAAAAGAGCTACAATCACTATATCAAATATATCAATCTATAAATCAATGATATATTACATATCAATTAATGTTGAGACTAAAGCACCAAATCATTTTTGCATCATATCCTACTTTAAACAGGTAATGAAATTACTCTAGGAAAATTAAGAGGAAAAATCCATGAATTGAAACATCTGACGAACAATTGAATATGGCTTTCCTATTCACAAAATACAATCTACACTATATCATATTCATTAGAAGAGGTAGAAGTTGAAGAAAAGAAGAAAACCTTAAGGCACACTATAACAACATCTAAGAAATGAAAGGAATAAACAGTGTTTTAACCCTCCTTTGTAAAATAAATAAATAAATAGATAAATAAAATATAAGAAAATGAAAAAGATAAGAGAGTGAAAGAAAATGAAGAGGAAATACAAAAGTGCTTTGGAGAGTTTTAGGTGAGTGCTCAGGACACATAGGGTTTCCAATATGGAAGTGTGACGTGACAGGTACCATGCTGACAGCCATTCTATCTTTGACTGAGGAGTGCCATTGGAGGGCCTGGAGCTGGGCATCGAGGAGAGCTTCTCTGTGGTCCTTCTGTGTTGTTGAGCGACAAGGTTTTTTGGAGAATGCTAACGGTTGCATTTGGGTTGTGCTTCTTTCAGGGATGTTGTACTACTTCTTAAGAGGTCCTCTTTCCATTTCTTTATGTATGCTTTCTTATGAATTTATCTCTGTGGTGTGATTGATTGCATCTAGTGCGAGTAATTAACTGATTTAAACACAGATACGAACAAAAGAAATTAACAAGTAATAAGAACAACAAGGATATTTTATGTAGTCATTAAGGCACTGCTTTATTTTAGTTATTTTCCTTTTCTGATTTTTCAGGTAACTTTCAGTTTGAGCATTTTTTCTCATGAGCAATTGTCATATAAAGTTTGCTCACAATCAATCTCACAGCCATAAGTGCACTGGGTTTTTGCGTCCATGCAAATAATCCTAATACGAGATGACGGGAGACACAGAAAACCGACGAGGAAAAAATCCTTTTCTCGGAATTGGCAGTGGTATTTTATATATTTTTTTTACACATCAATCGACACCAAATCTGGGCCCGGGGAGGCAGGGGAACTATGAGAAGACTCTCGCCAGTAGGGGAGAGGGACATACGGCAACAGAAGTGTGGCATCAGCGGCAGCAGTAGCAACGACAGTAGTGAGAGCAGGAGCGGCAGTGTTGGTGACAGCAGTGGCGTCAGCCCTAGGGAGGAGGAGCATCACACGGTCCTCGGCAGGATCGGTCCTCGGTGTAATAGATCTATCCTTTTTCCCCTTAAACTCTAACACTGTAAATATAATGGGTCACGTTCAACCCTCATACTGACCTTGGAGTTATGTTCAGTCTTGCGACGCTTTGACCCTATGAGGAAGAAAAGAGAGACAAAAGTAGTGTTAGCCTTTTACATAACTAACTTCATTAAATAATCAATCACAGGAATTCCCACAAACTAAAAAGGAACACTATTCTCAGATGAACCAACCTCTTGAAGACTCAGGAGGTTCCATCTTGTTAGAGGCTGAAGAAGCGTTGGACGTGACACTGCTCTCCCTCTCCCTCTCGGCTCCACCTCCCACTAATGCGCGGTCATCTCGCTCTGGGTCTGCATAGTCCTCATCGTCATACTGTAAAGTGGAATTTAATTGTACATATGAAAAAATAGACCACAAATAAATCACAACAGTAACTAGCAATATTGCTACACCATTGAAATATGTACAATATAGTCTCCAAAAATTGCAAGTTGACTATAGTTTCCTCAGATTTACAAAATAAATACCTTGGATTTCTTTGATTCTTTGTTCCTCTTTTTGGGCTTTTCTTCTCGTTCCTCTTTCTTTTCCTTGTCCTTCTTTTCCTTTTCCTCCTTCTTTATCTCTCTGTCTTCACTCTTTCTCTTTTCACTTGCTTCTTTTTTCTCCTTTGCCACTTTACTGAAAATAAGATATTAAACTTATTAAATTTAAATGAAGCATATGAAGATGATACATAAAATTGAGGAAAAGTTGAAGAAAAAGAGAGCAAAAACAGGGAAAAGACCCTGACTGACCTTGCTGACTCTTTCTTGATCTCCTTCGCCTCCCTGTCTTCCTTGCCCTCCAGCTCTCCATTGGTAGTCTCTGAAGTCTCCATCTGTAGAAGCATTGTAGGCTGTCATACTGAGTCTTGAAATAGGGCTCATCATTGTCATGAAAATTATACTAGTGTGTATGTAGGTATGAATGTGTGGTTGAGTGAGTGTGTTGGTGTTAGAGAGACTAAGAAATGATCAGACTAATGAAATATGACAAATATGAATATTCAGACTCACCTTGACAATCTTTTCATTCTGCTCTACCATCTCCCCACTGCTCTTGACATCATTTGCTGCTGTTGAGCTAGACTTCTCTGAGGCCCCATTCACAACCTTTGCCGCTTGTGGCCTCTTTGGGACAATGTGGAAGTCTGTCTCAGGCATGAGGTTGGGCTTTGCACCTTTTAGTCTCCCTGAGTAGCTGTTTGCCAGGACGTATAGGTCATTCCTCCGATTTCTCTCCTCATTTTTCACCTGAGGAAAGAGAGGGGGGTCATTCCTATGAAAGATGGCTCTATAGTGATGCCCAAAGAAGTGTGCTAAGCAGCTGGGAGAACTGACTGCAAAGCTCATTAAAACTTGAAATATTTCTAATTAATTTCTATAATCATAAAAACAAAAAACTAATGGGGGGGGATGTACTAAGGCAAATAATAAACTTACAAATGTATGAAAATAAACTATACAAAGAAGTCTACCATTATTTGGCTTTGAAGATTACCTTCTCAATCCTTTTTTCAATGACTGCAGCAAGGTTTGAAATGACAGGGAAGCGTTGCAAGATGCCCTGCAGAATAAGGATGGCGTTGCGGATCTGGATGTAGTCCCCACTCTCTAGGCAGGTTACCAAGGCCTGTTAGCCACAGAGAAATTATAAGTTGTTTCAATGCTCGAGTTGGTCAACTGTAGACGTTATGTTATTTGAAGATTCTTATTAAGCTATATATGCATTACATTTCTCTTCAACTTTTACTCTTTCATTCCATACTTTTAGTCCAGATCTTTTGCTAGGTTCCCTCTTCCCACTAAACATTCCCTCTTAACACTTTTCTCCACATATGTTGAATTGTCATTAATGAAAACTAGTCTATCATCCATTAGTAATACCCACAGATCGAAAAGAAAACCTCACAGCATTCTTTCTCCTTTTGTTTCTAATGAAATAAAATTTTGAATACACTTTCTTCTACAGTTATAAAAGCCTTCAAGAAACAAGCATAAGGTGCTTTATATGATTCATCAATTTTTTACAAAAAACTGCTGACTTATCTGATGAGGTTTAACATACCATAAACAGCAAAGAACAAATCTACTCACAGAAGACCTTAGACAAATAGCCCATATAAGTGCAAAGAGCAGAATAATCCTTATGTACTTTCAACAGGATGGGAGAGATGTTGGTACTGTACATTTGAGCACCAACTAAATAAAATAATTACTTAGAAAAAAATATTGCAAGCACAAAAATTCCTAAACTGATTGGGAAATGACTTGGTGATTAAGTAAGCTGAAAAGGCATTACCCAGCTTGCAAGCCAAGCTTTCAAAGATTCTCGTCTTTAAATGGGCACGTGGCTATTGCAACCAACTGTGGCCATACATTATCAATAATGACTTTTTACTGAAGCAAGGGAAATCAATATATATTCTTTTCTCTTATCCTGTTAACCCAATGGCTGCAGAATTATGCAGTAGTACTCTCTTGTGAATTTTGCCTGATTTAACAATATGACTACAAGACAATTGAATGATGAGAGAGAGAGGAGAGAGAGAGAGAGAGAGAGAGAGAGAGAGAGAGAGAGAGAGAAGAGAGAGAGAGAGAGAGGAGAGAGGAGGAGAGATAGAGAGAGAGAGAGAGAGAGAGAGTGAGTGAGAGAAGTGACTGTGAGTGAGAGAGGTGAGTGAGTGAGTGAGTGAGGAGGAGAGAGAGAAGAGAGAGAGAGAGAGAGAGAGAGAGAGAGTTAGACAGACAGAGAGACAGAAAGAAAGAAAGCGAAAGAGAAAGAAAGAGAAATAGAGATATCTCAATTTAAATTCCAATTTCAGATATCACTTTTGTATTGTAATATATTTCATAAGTGAAAAGTGACAACTGTAATAGTATCTTACTCACATGAAGATCTAATTGTTATCAACTTTGATTTTACTAGATTTTGAGCCTCGCTTATTAATGTAAAAGGGTTTATGGATCAGGTCAAGTTACAAGCTTTAATGATGTCAGCTTAAAAGCAAGTCAATTTGTGGATTTCACCTCTGGAAAGTACACCTGCACTATCATGCACACCCATACACTTACCCAGATACAAAAAAAAACACACACAAGTACAATTAAATACACATAAAAACTCCAGCTATGAAAATGAGTTGGAAAGGTCTCTGAACTGTGAGCAAAGGCAGGTTTTGAATATCTGGAAGTAGAAGGAATTATGGAGGCCATGGACACATGACTAGAAATAAGACAGAATGATATCAATTTAGAAATTACAGTAAATCCACATCATAAAAATGTAAAGTAAGAGAAAGAGGGAGAGAAGGAAAAATGGAGAAGGGAAAAAGAAGAAAAAAAACAAAAAGATGAAAAAAGGAACCCAAGGCTACCAAACCATCAAAGCACAACACAAACTTTAGTGATCTTGTAGTGCCACTTGTGGACAACATGACGGTAGTTCTCATAATCCACGTAATCATTGGCTTCCTGGCGTGAAACCCGGTACTTGGTGACAAAGCCAGGGTAGTTTGCGCACTCCTTCTCATAGTTTTGCTGCGATGCGTGCCAGTGCATGACAGTATCTAGGGTCCCCAGGAGGAAGCGGCCATATCGGTGAGCCTCTTGCTCAGTGCAAGATGCAACGGTGTAGGTGATATCACAATACATCTGTAAGACAGCGAGTGAGTTAGAGACAAAAGAAAGAGAGAGAGAGTGTTAAATGGTTTGGGGACAGACATATACACACACCACACACACACCACACACACACACACACACACACACAACAACACAAAAAACACACACACACGCATAAGAAAAGAAAAAAAATCCATAGATTGTTGAAGTATTATGCTAGTAAAACTAACATTATCAACAATAAATGAATAAGGAAATTAAGCAGTTATCTATCATATATAACATATCAGACTTCAAACCGACAAAGAACAAAAAAGAAAAAATTACACATTTTCATAAGATATGAACATTACATAAACACAAGCCTTATAGAATCAGATAAACATTTAACTTACACGGTCATAACATATCAAGGTGGAGAAATTTGGAGTCTTGAGGTTGTGCAGCATCTTCACAAACCTTAAAGAAAAGAGAATTTGTTAACATATTCAGTAAAAATACATTCTTTGCTTAAATTTCACCATAGTAACACAGGAATACTCGGCCAAAACATTCCTATTAAGATCTTTGGATAATTATATCACTGAAGAAAGATTACAGGAGGAGGAGGAGGAGGAGGAGGATTTGGATGAGGTAAAATAGTGATGAATAAAGGAAAAACTTACTTGGCACAATAAATAGCATCCAGTGCTGTGAATGTGCATCGTGGAAATAGGCAGAGTTGGAGAAAAGCTGTCACAGTGTCATTCTTTGGGGATCTTGCTCCTCGAAGCATAAACCATCCATCCTTTTCCTGGTAATTGTTGAGAAATAATAATAAATTATGAATATTGTCAATGAAGACAAAGATATAATAAAATATTAAGTAGTCATTGTTTTGACTACCAACTCTAAAATATAAACTTAATGAAGAATATAGCAACTACAACAAGAAAAAGAAGTAATCAAAGAAGAAAGAATGATGGAAAAAGAAGTCCCACCTGCTGCAATCTGGCATACACTCTGTCGACATGCTCCTTCTGACGTTTTTCCTCTTCCTGGAGCTTCTCCTTCAGTGCCAAGAGACGGTCAGTCTCCTTCTTGCGCTTGTTTGCCGATGGCTTTGGAAAAAATAACAGGTTACAGAAATTAATTTAGGAAAATTTGAAAAATGTAAATTACGAGAAAGCCATAACAGTTAAAGTACCAATAAACTAGTAATAACATAATGTAATGTTGTTTTCTAGTACTTCACTTGGCAAAGATGCCTAAGAGTGCTGAGCAAGTACTGTAGGAAAATTAATAACCTCCAAAGATAAAATCATTTATTGCCAGATCTATTTCAATATCTTCATGGATTAGAGACAAAAATCATGCCACTTACACTAACATTTGCATCAATCTTCTTGATCTCTTTCTCGTACATGTGGTGTGGGACCTCCAGGTCGGACATGGTGAGTGTCCAAAAAGTGAGGAAGAAGGAAGGATCCATGTCCTCCCAGACCTGGCAAAAAACAAAAACCTTTCTAATCATGTAGTTTAGAGAGACTTGAATACAATTTAGCCCATTGGTTTTACCACCAAAATCCAACAAAATTGGAATTTTGAAGATCTTGGTTTATTTTTTTTATCTTATGGATTTCATGATTTTACATATTTACTTAAATTTCCTCTGTGTATTCACAAACTACTATACCTTAATACTGAAGTGTGGCTGGATGCTGGAAACAATGGGGTCAAAAACTTCATTGCAAGCCTGAATATACCGATCTTTCTTTTGTTCAATGGTCAGTTTCTTCTCACCACGATCTTGCCTTCTTAATTCATCATATCTGGACTGTTGATATAAAGGCAAGTAAAAAATATATAAAAACACAAGATCGTAATGAAATAGTAGAAAAGAAATAAATACAAAATTATTCACCTAGTACAAACATATATATATCATGAGTTTTACAACCAGCATTGCAATAAATATCGTTTCTGAAACAAAATCCAAAACCATCTGATGTTTAGAGTAAGCAAGCACCAATTTCCAGTGAAAGATGAGTGTGAGCTCACTTAAAATGTCTAATGATTTCATAACAGGGTTTTAAGTCATTCACACACACACAACACACACAAACACACACACACCACCACACACACACACACAAACACACGACACACATACACACACACACATTCAACAGTCAAACACACACACACACACACACACACACACAAACACACAGACACACATACACACACACACATCAACAGTCAAACACACACACACACACACACACACGCACACCACGCACACACATGCACGCGCACACACATGCACGCGCACACACATGCACGCGCACACACATGCACGCGCACACACATGCACACGCACACGCACACACTGCACACGCACACGCACACACAACACGGGCACTCACTCACACACGGACACACACGGCACTCACTCACACATTGCGCACGCACTCACACACGTGCGCACGCACTCACACACGTGTGCACTTACTCACTCACTCACTCACTACACTTACATTTAGCATATTTATAAAAAGAGGACGTGCGAGGAAGAATGCTACATCAGCATTGATGTGGTAATCGGACAACAAGGATCCAATACTTGGCAGCCGATCGCTAAGCTCCTCTATAGTGACAACTTGGAACAGATACGAACCAAACTGCACCATTGTATCCTGGCACTGCAATATTGAAATAAAAAGGAAAAGAGTCAGAAGCAGAAGAAGAAGAAGAAAGAAAAAAAAAAAAAAAAAAGAAAAGCAGAAGAAGAAAAAAAAAAACTGTTTACATAATCTATAGATATTTGATTACAATAAAATTTCATTGATGCACTAGGGTTAATACAATGATGATTTCTTGTTGCTCTTACTAAAAAGCATATAAATAATATAACAATATGAACTTGCCAGAAATTATGAAAGTGAAGTACATATAAAATGAAAGTTGATTCATGATATTCACTTTAAAGTAATTATTGATTACACACTTACTTGATCATACAGCTTCCCTACAAGTTTTAAATGGGGTGATTCTGTCTGATTGTATACAATAGATGACCTCTGCTGTGCCATAAGTAGCAACAAAGGTATGGCAAGGTCATTCTCTAGGAGAGCCTCCTTCAAACGGAGAGAAGACCTCTTGGTGTTCCTTTCCTGTTGATATTGTCCTGCTTCCCTACGCAGGAGTTCTCCACCACACATAGCACTCAACTGTAATTTTTAAGCGGGTATGCTATAGTCAAGACAAAGGTGAATTTGACAACTAGAGGACTTGGTAATTAATTGTGGAGAAAATATTAAATTCTCTGAAATTGAGGATATGAACTTGTCTGTGTCAAAAATGGCTGACACCTGCTGCTGCCTGGTGCCAGGCATATAAAGCATCAAATGTTTTAAATGCCACGTCTTTCAATGCCCAGCTGAAAAGTTATAAAGGAAGTGTGGGTAAATCATGTACAAAAAAAGAATAGGGACAAGACTTGGAAAATTTTAAAAAGAATTGAAAGAAAACAAGAAAACCAAACAAACCAAACAAGGGAAAACTGAGAAAAAGCTTGATTGGGGGGAAGCACCAACTAACAGATAAGTAGACTGATGCTTAACTAATATCCTTCAGCAAGGTCATCTAGGACTGCATGGGGACATCTATCCTCACAATAAATTTGAAAATTGTATCTGGTTTTTGGTATTCCATTTCATGTGATAGAGAGGGCAACCACCATCATATCCACTGTGACCCTTCTTGGTGCATTTTTAGGGAAGAAATAGATGAAGGCAAGCCTCTTGCTGTATTGCCAATAAATGAACAGAGTGAGGACAGACATCATAGCGCCAGAAGGTGCCGCGCTGTCTGTTAAACAAGGTATGTGTTTCACTATGATGCTTTCCCATATTGCCACCATGCCAAAACAGTGAAAATTGGTGGGCAACAGGACCATTACATAATTGCATTTGCAAAGATGTATTAGAAATTGCTGGGAGATTACAAATATTCCCTGATTCCCAGCATCCAGTTCCTACAGAACCAGTTCCCAGCACATCACTGGATGTTGGTTCTCTAGAACTGATTCCCTCCTCATCCAGGGATATTGGTTCTCCAGAACTGCTTCCCTCCCTCTCCCGGGTCTTTCCTACCATGGGATAGATTTGACCACATCTGGTCAGCCTTGCTCACAGCAAGTGCTTGGCTGTGCCCTTCCCATTGATCCAAAAAGTGTTCATGCTGACCTGCAAAAATCACTTTCGTCTGATATTGAAATGGCATCACATATAACTGAAAATCCTAACATGGTGACTGCATCTGTTTCCATGTTGATACAAATACTGGCATGTGTGAGATGCATGCATTGGAGTGGCAATTTACATTGTAGACTGTAGTCATCTTCTCACGGCAATACCATACAGCTTACATGTTTGCAGTGCCATGAACAGCTTATAAAGGCATCTCCCAACAGCTTCAGGCTTTCACATGGCAACAAGTTGGGCAACAAAGCCAAGGCTCTACAGGTGTATGCGTCCCTGATTTATAATGATGGCCAACCTGGCCTAAATAGGGACACTGGCTTCAGTGCCATGCAAAGCATGTCAACACGTGTATTTTATGACAATGCCCATTTCCTGTACGCCTAAATGGACATATTTTCCGGGAAAGAATACATTTTGTTGTGAATATAAGTCAGTGAGTATTATTGTGACAACCTAAAAACAGATCCAAAGGACTCTGGAATCTTAGATCTCATGGTCTCCTTTGATGCTGCATGGGAAAAGTGTGGGTGGCATAGTCACATTGGCATCACATTTGTCATGGAAGCTAACACAGGTTTAATAGTTGACTAGGAAGCCCTTCCAACTACATGCACAAATGTATGTGCACATAAACATATGACACTCTCCCTTGAGGCATTTGAGGAGTGTAAGGCAAAAACTTCCCATGAATGCACTTACAACCACTCAGGCTCAGCAGGCACCGCAGAATCAAAAACTACTATTCCAGTTGTGGCATCACTTGAGAAAAGCTAAATATGCTGGTCTAAAGAGAGTCACCTTTGTGTCTCATGTGACAATCATAGAACACAACTTAGTATATGAAGCCACCAAATTTCTTGAATTTATTGCCTTTACTACATTGGAAGTCCTTATTTGGATATGTTACATTCAGCAAATTACTACCAACTTCTGAGGTATATCTTTGTCTTTCTCATAAAAGGACATGAAGTGAAGTGATAGAATCCAAGCCCTAGTACTGAGCTATATATTATGTCCATTACACTCTGCTAGAACTTAACTATCAACTGTGTTCAATGAAAACCAAACACATTTATACTTGTACTGTTATCAACGGAAAAATGAATAAGCTAAATATGTACTATACAATCTAAATCAGAGAATTCATGACTGATAGAAAACCAAAGAGTATATTAGTTTAAAAATCTAAGGAAAACAATGACTAGTATATTAGGAGCAAGGAAAATGGTGCAGATTTTATGTGTCTAAAAACAAAACTGATAAAAAATTCATAACGATTAATGAAAAGCAAGTAATATCCTCTTGTAAATGTAGCACTACACCCTAACCTGTTCAGCTGTGAGGTCTTCTAAAGTATCTGTTCCACCCATTTTCTGCACTATTTCTCGTAAGATGAGGAGATCAATGGATTTTTCAGACTTGAGTTGGTTGGCCACAAACTGTAAGATGCCTCCGAGATCTGTGACATATTTCTTAAACACAGTGCCACAAAAACTGGACAGGGACTGGAGCCATGGTGAGATGATCATCTCTGAAAGAGGAAACAGAAATGTCTATAATTGCACAATCCAGTCAATCCAAATCCACCTAAGACAGTAATATTCTGTGAAAGTATTAACCTTGTGATATCATTTAAATAATTCAATAAAGACAAAGTATGAGGACCTTCATGTGCAGTTCTATCCTTGTTCTCTGAGAGGATTTCCACAATGCAGTATCCCAGCATGTCATAGGAGAGAGATGTCAGGTACTTAAAGCTGTCTACCACAGGGCCAATTAGGTTGTCATACAGCTGAACTTGGATCAGGATCTGTGAAGATAAAAGACAAGTATGTTTACAGCTATGACATGGGAGGGAAAAATTGTTGAACACATTTATGCCATATGGCATTTATTTTTGCAATAGTGAACCAGTCTGAAATGCAAGATGGTAAGTATCTACACCACAAATGGTCAAGGCTGCTCTAAGCTTCATGCACTAAACAGCTGTTCACTTCTTTGGCCACAAGAGCTGTCACTGAGGAGTTACAGCCCCTTAAAATCAGTGTTAATGTCTTTTTTCCACAAAAACATTGTATACTGCAGCCAAAATCATAAAGAACTGGGAAAATACATGTTTTCCATGCTTCTAATTTTTCACTTGAGAGGTTGTTTGGAAATTGTCATTATTGGGTTAAAAATACTGGCAACATTATCTAGTCCCTTTGCTTAAAAAACACATTTGTAACTTTCCATTCTAAAATCAATATCAAGGATATGAGCAAGGAAAAGAAGAAAGTATGAAAGAATATAAGAGATAGGAGGAAAGGAGGAGGGGAGGGAAGGGTAGGGAGAATGAGAGAAATAGGGAGGGAGAGAGGCAAAGAGGTTCATAAGAATTATCACTCACATAATGGAATATGGGGCCAGGGTTGTTATGCGTCAATTTCCCAATGCCTCGGCTTACAGGCTTGATAGTTTCTTTTGTGATGCGCATCATAATGAACTTAGCTTTCTTGAGCAGCCAAGCCCTGCGCCTCATCAACATGGGATGCTGTGTGAAGGACTCATTCTTCCATCGGCCATACAACCTATATCTGTAGGGCATTCAACACCTGACATTAGACTTTGGCTATAAAAACTAAACCAAACACTGCCAACCACTTATTTTTAAACAAACACAGCTTCAAACTCTCCTATCTATGTTTCCTTAAACTGCTGATAACTAACCTGTGCTGATAGGGATATATCTTGAGTGTTTCCCAAATCTCCTCCGCCAGACATGGGTTTGAGTCAAGCATGGAGAGAGACGGAAGGAGAACTTCATCAAAACACTTAAAAACTCAAAGTAGAAATTGGACCGTTCACCATCTTCTCCTACTGGTGTCTGCAAAGATCAACTTGTGTTAAAATGGCTTTCATATCTGCATTAAATGTTTTACACTACTTAAATTATTTGTAGTTTAAAAGATAGAGGTACATGATGTGGAAAGAAATATTAAGGAACAAAAAGCTGTTTTCCCGCCAAGCACTTAAATACTTTGACAAAAAGGGTTACTATACCCTCCCTCCCTCCACAAATTCTCATCCACTGGTCTTCAATTTGCATTGTTGATACTGATGAAGCCTTATTACTGCACGAGTCTGTAACTCAGTGTACAAGTCAGAGGTTACAATAAGTTAAAGCTTATGAGCAGCTTGATTTTGAAAATAAAGCTCATTCTAGGATAGATCTCAATACAGAAACTTGATATCAAATATCAAAAGCTTATAACAAGAGGAACACTTACAATGAAGAAGAAATAAAAGATAACAGGAAAATAAATATATCTACATACTGGTAATAACAATAATACTATAAAAATTATGTCATTCACAGAATATATAAAGACCAGTGCCCCACGAAACATCCTACACAACACTTCTCTTTCTCACTCCTTGAGAGCAACACGAGCCACCCTGAGGACTTGCACATGAGCCCTGGGTCATGGTACAGGTGTGGTCCAAGCACAAGCAGCATTGGGAATACTGTTGCACTGACATCGCTGAATTTCCTGGCTGGTTGTGGTGCCAGAGGGTTGTCTAGTGGCTTCACTCGAGAGGCCTTGAGTCGGCTTGGTAAATTGCACACCCTGCAAATTGGCAAGTGTTAACCCACTTTAATGACAATGCCTTACATTTATTCTTAATGTTACAAATCAAACCAATACATTCCCTATAAAAAATTGCAAGAAAACAAGTGACTTACTCTCTGTAGATGGGTTCAATTGTGGCATGAACTAGTTGACAAAGTGCTTGACTCACAGGAGAAAAGACATCAAATAATAGTCAGGGAAACGAGATGAAATTTCTACAAATGCCAAGCTCCAACCTGTTTTCATAGGAAAAATATTATGGACAGTTAGAAGAAGGAATGGCCAATATTCTTAATCACCACACAAAGCTATGTTATCTGACAAAATTAATGACGGTTTTAACTATTTTCTTTCAGTTCACATACATCAAAGTACAGCACATATCAATATTCCAGAATTCTCTACATCAGCAATGACAAGCAGAAAATTTTCCTGCCTTGATCTACCCAATTCTACCATCTGACTTACCTCAATGAGGGCAATGCACAACTGGATCTTTTGATTGGACAGATACACCTCCTGATTTTTGAAATCCTCTTTGAGACTCTCCTCCTCTTGCCGCTCTTGTTCCTTTTCCTTGTCTTTATCCTTGTCTTTGGTAGATATGACATTAAGCTTTCTGACAATCTCCTTCGCCTCGTTCTCCTCCTTCAGATGGCACTCAATCATGGAGGAGTCCTCGGGTGTCAGCTGGAGTGTGGGTGAGGACAAAGAATGAACTTTAAAATAAAAGGATGGGACCAATGTTGGGCAGGTAGGGAGTAAAATGGAATAATTGTCATGTAAATTGAGCATGGACTGAGTTAGAATCAGCAAGGATATCAAAATGATTTAGTTAAAAGTGAGCCACCAGTGTGCCCATGAGCAAATCATTATCAACAATATTTCTGAGGAAAATATGAGGGAAAAAAAAAAAAAGGATAGAAAAGAGGAGGAAAATGGATAAGAAGATGAAGAAAGGTAAGCAGAGAAGGAAAACTAATAAAGAAAGAAAAAAGGAAAAGGAGTAACAGGAAAAACAAAAAGAAAAAGATGAGCAGAAGGGTAGAAGGAACACAAATAACAAGACTAGGAGATTAAGATGGTGGAGAAAATAATAAGAAAAAAGAAATGAGTGGAGTGGAGGACAAAAAGGAGTAGAAATCTAAAAAAAAAAGGGTTACTCGAAAGCCAGAACTGAAGTAGGCCTGTGCAACTTTACCCATGAGTAGATATCGGAAAGCTGCAGGATGTTGGCCTGAATGAGGAGTGCTATCGTGGTGTAGATCCCCTTGGTGTCCTTTCCATTGGAGGCGTAATTGTTGAGCTTGAAGCCCAAGAGTTCACTGATGGTAGCTGACTCACAGGGGTACTGATTGAGGAGTCCTGTGTAGAACTGGTGCTGGGATGGCCGTGCCTCCAAGGACTCCAAGATGAGGTCTAAGACACGATTGGGGTCCAAGTTGAAACCACCTGAAAGTATACAATATTAGTTTATTTGCTAAAATTCATACAATAAAAAATTATGTATGTACAATTTCAAAGAATCTGAAATTAATACAAAAAAATACAAGAATATACACATAAATATATAAGTAGAAAACTCTTTTTAGATTACCGATAAGACTACGAATAACTTGGATGATTGACTGAGGTGTAACCCTCTCTGTTATTTCTTGATTGAGCTCTGTCACAAGCTTAGCATAACCTTCTGTTTCTTCTCGTAATAGGTTGAATTTCTGCTGTTTGTAGCTGCGAGTAAAGAAAAGGGTGACAATGAAAATTAATTGATCAAATGGATATTTGTAAATGGAATTATTCCACATTACATAACATATTTCTTTACAGGGAAAACATTTACAAATAATACAAATTTACTTGCTTAAAATTATCTACATCTACCAATCCAGATATACTTACAATAACTTAGTCTTCACTTTTATCTGCTTTGTGTGGAAATTTTTCTTGTTTTTCACTATGCCATAATCTCCGAGAGTTTCAATCTCCAACCTCTCCTTCATCATTTTATCGATGTCTAAGGACTTGAGCAGCATCATTAGCTGTTCCCGATTTCTGCTGAGGCGGTCAATGGTGGAAGCTTCCAGGTCAAGAAGGGTAGCCACCTCCACCAGCTGTGAAGCCAGATCTGGGTGCCAGTTCTGTGGAGATCATAGGATTGATGATACTGTCTAAATGTCACACAATAACAAGAAGTTTTTAACTTCTCCTCTCTATCTGTATTGCTCTTTCTGTGTATCTCTCTTTCTCTACTTACAATATAAGTGAAAAACTATTACTTGGTAATTCTAAAAGCACTTATGCTCTCTTCATTACCAGAAAGTATATGTAATATGGTTATGTTCTAATACAATATCAAAACTACTATTGTCTATAAAAATACATATTTCTATATCTATATCTATATCTATATATATAATGTCCACATATACACACAAAACAAACAAACAAACAAAAACACAAACAAACACACACAAACACACATATTTCAAGTACAGCTCTCTGTTTAACTTACAAGCATTTCTGCGAGAAGTGGTCGCACATGTTCACGTGTCAAGCTGCCTCTTAATACAGCTGACAAAATCTCATACAGTCCTCTGGACAGGTCTGAAAGTTTGATAAACATTAATATAGTCATACCTAGTTAAATATACAAGTTAATCATTGAAATTTTTAAAGAAGTTTACAGAATTACTCAAGTGACCAGCTTATGAAACAAATAATCAGGAAACAAACTTTTAATGGAATGCAAGGTCATGAATAAAGGAAAATTCTATTCTGGTAAAATGTTCAAGTGCTAGTCAAAACACTGATCTTCTTATAAACACACAAAATTTGCGAATCTCCTACACAGCAAACCTATCTAGTAATTATATACAGCAGATGTAAAGTAAAACAGAAACATTTCAGAAGACTCATCCTAAAACAAAAACAGGACTCCCTTACCTTTGCAAACACTTGGCTGGGATAAGCCAGGGTTATCTGAGTCTTCTTTTAATAACTGTTTGATTGTTTGGATGCTGAAAAGAAATGAAAAGCTAATTAGGTAGAATAAAGAGATTGGGTTGTTCTAATCATGGGCTAAATCTGACTGAAGAATTTGAACCTTATACTTCCACCCACAAACAAGATGATGAGATCAACATGAGAAGACGATACCACGCTTGATTAGGTTAGGATAGGTCAGTTTCCATGTTAGGTTGGGTTAGGTTAGGAAAGGTTATGAATCCCGAATGCAGCAGAGCCACATCAAGTAATGTACTTATTATCCGGAAATGGTGCTTATATGCACGTGTGCCGTACTATCAACCAAGAGAAATTGGGATATGGCTGACATATTCATATCCATGGCCGTTTTAGAAATCTTTATCTTGAACACATAGATATACCAATCAGAATTTTGAAGTTATAAACAAAGTGACAAGTAATAATGAGCAACCATGCTTTTCTGCATCACAATATCATCACATCTACATGTTTTAATGCTATCAATTAACATTTTCAAACAAGTTCTCCATATGAAAAAACGGTTTCTAGGACTTCTAACGGATATACAGGGAGTTGTTCGTACAACATCTCATGTGAAGAAAACAGAATTTACACATTTCCATTTGAAATCTTTCTGAACCAGTAACTTCTTCGAGCCAAAATGCCAACTTCAATGGTCTGCCATCCACAGTTGATCTGTCATAAATGTGATAAATGAGGTCACAGGAACTAACAGGTTCAGTCCCTTGGAAATCCTGGCTTATTGCCATGATGCTGACAGGGACAACACCCCATCAAGAGGGATCGTGGTAACACACACTGCTCTCCCTACATGGCCTGTCTGCAACATTTACAACACAGAAATGCAAACAGCAAAATGATTAATATATGACTCATTAACTGTGCAGTAAAAACAGATGCATTCCCAGTAGGGGGTCCTTAGGGTGAAGTTTTTCGGGTAAAAATAAAGAACTATCATCAAAACTTTAGTCCTTTTGAGTACACGACAAAAACTAGTTATCCGTGTAATGCTTTGTAAACATTTGGCCGGCTGCCGGTCAACCAATGAAAGCAAACAAAACATCACGCTAAACAATGACTCAAATGTACACAAATCCTTTTACTCTGTTATAGACAAGGCAAATAATTCACTTAGACGCTTTGAATGAGCGTTTCGTGCATCTAATATCAATACGTAACCTTACAGAAAAGTTATAAGAGAAAACAAAACAAAACTACATTTGTTGACACTTTGAGACTCTCGGAATCCTCAATTGCAAAGCCCTTAAAATTGCAATATTTCCACGTGATAATTTTACAAAAATACCTAAATAAAATCCGGGGTGAAATGGGAATTTGTTGGTAAATAGGAAAACCTGACTTACACTTCTGCTTTGCCCGATTTTGCCCAATTTTTCCAAGTCTCGAGTGTAAACAAGCGGTGACTGCCCGCCATCTTTGCTCTGTGGCGCCGCCTCTAAAACATCATCCTAACTACCGAATTAATTTGAATATATATTTTCTTAGTACGATTTTTATTCTTTAAATGCGTATTTAATAACCTAGTGTAAATCATAAGATAAATGTCGTATGATATGGGCTCTTTCGAAGCCGGATGATATTTTTTGTTATCTCTGATGTGCAGCAATAGCAAAGGATGCGAGTTAATTTGGTGATAAATAAGTGTTTTGTTTTGGATTTTTCCTCACTGCACATTCAATTGCATGCTATAAATATTGTAAATGTACTCCTGAGGCAAAGAAATGAATATCTATTATTTTTAAAAATACGTTGGGATTACAGAGGACTGCGGTAGATTACATAAATCAGCCATGCCAATATCCAACTTATGATGCTGAGACAACATTCATAATATTGGTAACATATAATTACAATCCTCAAGAGATTATAACAAAAATAACCATTCAAAAAAGTTATCGAAGCTGCCTAATAACTAGCGAGCGTCGCCTGGCGGCAGTGGCAGGAAGCTGTGTTATAAAAAGAAACCTGAATTTTTACTTTAAATTTTAATCAGTAATAAAGTCTATAATATTTAGGGTATGAAATCGAAGTCACACCGACTTCATTCTTCTACCACAAACGTTCAAAAATATTTTATCAATACCCTCCCTGCGTTGCAAGAGCCACCTAGCGGCGGCGGGAAGAAGCTCGGTTCAAAAACAAACCATGGCGCCGAGAAGAAAGGGAGCGACGGACAGTCCCAGGACTCCGAACAATTTTGAGTACTTAAAGAGCATTGGTGACTTTAAAAAGACGATCAGGAGGAGAGATACACTCAAGGCCTTCAAGACAGGAAAGGTAAGCGGGCCCAGAAACTTGATGTATGGTTAGTTTCTAAAAAAAATTCTCAAGACAGTCTCCCAGAAAGTTCGGTCGAAGGTTGCCAAACGGGAAGAAATGCCGAAGAAAATCGTGTTTTGTCCGATTTTTTAATGACTTTTTCTAATTTCCTTTGGCAATAATGCAGGATTTAATTGTAAGTTTTTCTGTATTAACATTGGCAGACCGAACGAATGTATGTTTACAGAGGAAAAATGAATTCGTGGGGATTTTTTGTGTAATCGGATTAAAAAGGGATTTAAACAGCTCAATAAGCTTTAATTGCACTTGGGACTCAATATACACGGGTCTTGATGGAGGTCAACGACACAGATTGAAGAAGAACATCGAATTTGCTTTGAAGGTTTTCTAATGAAAAGGTAAATTACCTGTGCACTGCCAAAATGCATCCATGATCAACTGAGCCAATTGTTAAATGATTTATTAAAAGTCGTTGATCAATTATATTTGACAATATAGAGAGTAAAGAGACCAAGAACTTCAATGAAAACTTCCACACAGGAAAATATATCTAATTTTTCACATGCAAAGATCACAAAATCTTGAGCATTTTTTCAATTACAATCACCGTGTCATGACCCCTCACGGTGACCTTACTGACCTCGTGGGTTTTCCAGCATCCGTGCTAATCCATTATCCTCCCTCCCTACTGCCTCCCCCCTGGCCCGTCCCGCAGCACCAGCCAGATTTGGAAGTGTTATTGTTTACAGATGGGCCACGGGAGGGCGGGGTCAGAGGTCAGCTGCATGTCTGTTTCTTGCCGCTTGGTTGGTATGCCGACCGTTGAGTGCTTAAAGGGCCATTATTGGTGCAAGTGACCCGGGCAAGGGAAGGGGCGGGGCTAGGAGTGTCTGCTTGGCATCTCCGGCGATCTGATACCCGCTTTTTGTTGGCACTTTTAATCTTTTTCAGGCTCGTCCGTTACGTTTTTTTTGTTTCGCTTTCACTGTCAGTTGGAATTTGTTCATCTCTAAGTTAATTGTTTTATCTATGCTTCTCTCTCTCTCTCTCTCTCTCTCTCTNCTAAAAACAAACTGATAAAAAATTCATAACGATTAATGAAAAGCAAGTAATATCCTCTTGTAAATGTAGCACTACACCCTAACCTGTTCAGCTGTGAGGTCTTCTAAAGTATCTGTTCCACCCATTTTCTGCACTATTTCTCGTAAGATGAGGAGATCAATGGATTTTTCAGACTTGAGTTGGTTGGCCACAAACTGTAAGATGCCTCCGAGATCTGTGACATATTTCTTAAACACAGTGCCACAAAAACTGGACAGGGACTGGAGCCATGGTGAGATGATCATCTCTGAAAGAGGAAACAGAAATGTCTATAATTGCACAATCCAGTCAATCCAAATCCACCTAAGACAGTAATATTCTGTGAAAGTATTAACCTTGTGATATCATTTAAATAATTCAATAAAGACAAAGTATGAGGACCTTCATGTGCAGTTCTATCCTTGTTCTCTGAGAGGATTTCCACAATGCAGTATCCCAGCATGTCATAGGAGAGAGATGTCAGGTACTTAAAGCTGTCTACCACAGGGCCAATTAGGTTGTCATACAGCTGAACTTGGATCAGGATCTGTGAAGATAAAAGACAAGTATGTTTACAGCTATGACATGGGAGGGAAAAATTGTTGAACACATTTATGCCATATGGCATTTATTTTTGCAATAGTGAACCAGTCTGAAATGCAAGATGGTAAGTATCTACACCACAAATGGTCAAGGCTGCTCTAAGCTTCATGCACTAAACAGCTGTTCACTTCTTTGGCCACAAGAGCTGTCACTGAGGAGTTACAGCCCCTTAAAATCAGTGTTAATGTCCTTTTTCCACAAAAACATTGTATACTGCAGCCAAAATCATAAAGAACTGGGAAAATACATGTTTTCCATGCTTCTAATTTTTCACTTGAGAGGTTGTTTGGAAATTGTCATTATTGGGTTAAAAATACTGGCAACATTATCTAGTCCCTTTGCTTAAAAACACATTTGTAACTTTCCATTCTAAAATCAATATCAAGGATATGAGGCAAGGAAAAGAAAGAAAGTATGAAAGAATATAAGAGATAGGAGGAAAGGAGGAGGGGAGGGAAGGGTAGGGAGAATGAAGAGAGGAAGGAGGATATGGAGAAATTAGGGAGGCAACATTCATAAGAATTATCACTCACATAATGGAATATGGGGCCAGGGTTGTTATGCGTCAATTTCCCAATGCCTCGGCTTACAGGCTTGATAGTTTCTTTTGTGATGCGCATCATAATGAACTTAGCTTTCTTGAGCAGCCAAGCCCTGCGCCTCATCAACATGGGATGCTGTGTGAAGGACTCATTCTTCCATCGGCCATACAACCTATATCTGTAGGGCATTCAACACCTGACATTAGACTTTGGCTATAAAAACTAAACCAAACATTGCCAACCACTTATTTTTAAACAAACACAGCTTCAAACTCTCCTATCTATGTTTCCTTAAACTGCTGATAACTAACCTGTGCTGATAGGGATATATCTTGAGTGTTTCCCAAATCTCCTCCGCCAGACATGGGTTTGAGTCAAGCATGGAGAGAGACGGAAGGAGAACTTCATCCAAAACACTTAAAAACTCAAAGTAGAAATTGGACCGTTCACCATCTTCTCCTACTGGTGTCTGCAAAGATCAACTTGTGTTAAAATGGCTTTCATATCTGCATTAAATGTTTTACACTACTTAAATTATTTGTAGTTTAAAAGATAGAGGTACATGATGTGGAAAGAAATATTAAGGAACAAAAAGCTGTTTTCCCGCCAAGCACTTAAATACTTTGACAAAAAGGGTTACTATACCCTCCCTCCCCTCCACAAATTCTCATCCACTGGTCTTCAATTTGCATTGTTGATACTGATGAAGCCTTATTACTGCACGAGTCTGTAACTCAGTGTACAAGTCAGAGGTTACAATAAGTTAAAGCTTATGAGCAGCTTGATTTTGAAAATAAAGCTCATTCTAGGATAGATCTCAATACAGAAACTTGATATCAAATATCAAAAGCTTATAACAAGAGGAACACTTACAATGAAGAAGAAATAAAAGATAACAGGAAAATAAATATTGTCTACATACTGGTAATAACAATAATACTATAAAAATTATGTCATTCACAGAATATATAAAGACCAGTGCCCCACGAAACAACCTACACAACACTTCTCTTTCTCACCTCCTTGAGAGCAACACGAGCCACCCTGAGGACCTTGCACATGAGCCCTGGGTCATGGTACAGGTGTGGTCCAAGCACAAGCAGCATTGGGAATACTGTTGCACTGACATCGCTGAATTTCCTGGCTGGTTGTGGTGCCAGAGGGTTGTCTAGTGGCTTCACTCGAGAGGCCTTGAGTCGGCTTGGTAAATTGCACACCCTGCAAATTGGCAAGTGTTAACCCATCTTTAATGACAACTTGCTATGCTTACATTTATTCTTAATGTTACAAATCAAACCAATACATTCCCTATAAAAAATTGCAAGAAAACAAGTGACTTACTCTCTGTAGATGGGTTCAATTGTGGCATGAACTAGTTGACAAAGTGCTTGACTCACAGGAGGAAAAGACATCAAATAATAGTCAGGGAAACGAGATGAAATTTCTACAAAATGCTCCCAAGCTCCAACCTGTTTTCATAGGAAAAATATTATGGACAGTTAGAAGAAGGAATGGCCAATATTCTTAATCACCACACTGAAAAGCTATGTTATCTGACAAAATTAATGACAGTTTTAACTATTTTCTTTCAGTTCACATACATCAAAGTACAGCACATATCAATATTCCAGAATTCTCTACATCAGCAATGACAAGCAGAAAATTTTCCTGCCTTGATCTACCCAATTCTACCATCTGACTTACCTCAATGAGGGCAATGCACAACTGGATCTTTTGATTGGACAGATACACCTCCTGATTTTTGAAATCCTCTTTGAGACTCTCCTCCTCTTGCCGCTCTTGTTCCTTTTCCTTGTCTTTATCCTTGTCTTTGGTAGATATGACATTAAGCTTTCTGACAATCTCCTTCGCCTCGTTCTCCTCCTTCAGATGGCACTCAATCATGGAGGAGTCCTCGGGTGTCAGCTGGAGTGTGGGTGAGGACAAAGAATGAACTTTAAAATAAAAGGATGGGACCAATGTTGGGCAGGTAGGGAGTAAAATGGAATAATTGTCATGTAAATTGAGCATGGACTGAGTTAGAATCAGCAAGGATATCAAAATGATTTAGTTAAAAGTGAGCCACCAGTGTGCCCATGAGCAAATCATTATCAACAATATTTCTGAGGAAAATATGAGGGAAAAAAAAAAAGGATAGAAAAGAGGAGGAAAAATGGATAAGAAGATGAAGAAAAGGTAAGCAGAGAAGGAAAACTAATAAAGAAAGAAAGGAAAAAAGGAGTAACAGGAAAAACAAAAAGAAAAAGATGAGCAGAAGGGTAGAAGGAACACAAATAACAAGACTAGGAGATTAAGATGGTGGAGAAAATAATAAGAAAAAAGAAATGAGTGGAGTGGAGGACAAAAAGGAGTAGAAATCTAAAAGAAAAGGGTTACTCGAAAGCCAGAACTGAAGTAGGCCTGTGCAACTTTACCCATGAGTAGATATCGGAAAGCTGCAGGATGTTGGCCTGAATGAGGAGTGCTATCGTGGTGTAGATCCCCTTGGTGTCCTTTCCATTGGAGGCGTAATTGTTGAGCTTGAAGCCCAAGAGTTCACTGATGGTAGCTGACTCACAGGGGTACTGATTGAGGAGTCCTGTGTAGAACTGGTGCTGGGATGGCCGTGCCTCCAAGGACTCCAAGATGAGGTCTAAGACACGATTGGGGTCCAAGTTGAAACCACCTGAAACGCTATTACAATTATGTTAGTTTATTTTTGCTAAAATTCATACAATCAAAAAGAATTAGCTGGTGAATGTAGACAATTGTCTAAAATTGAATAACAAAGAGAGAAAAAATAAGAGAGATAGCAAAAGAAAAACTAATAAGAACAACAGAATAGAGAGAATAAAGATATGAGAGGTAAGAGGAGAAACTGCTTGTTATGAGGGAGTTAGCCGATAAGAGCTGACGAAATAGACTTGGGGATGATTGAGGCATGAGATGGGTAGACCGTTCGGTCTGGGTGATATTTCTGGATGAAGGCTGCGGTACACGAGAAAGGAGGGGGTGGCGAGGGTGGGGAGGGAACTGTAGCAGTGACCTGTCGTGATGTTCTTGCATCGTAAGTAGAGGTTGAATTTCTGCTGTTTGTAGCTGTTGCGAGTAGAAGAGAAAAAGGGGATGGACGAATGTTGGAAGATTAAGGTGTGGTAGTCAATGGATGATTTTGGTAAATGGAAAAGGTTTGATGTGCGACATTTACCATACACCATTATTTCTTACAGGCGAGAGAAGACATTAGACAAAAAGTAATTACAAAAGTGGCTAATTACACAGTTGCTTAGTAGATTAATCTACTGACGTCTACATCCAGAGCAGCGTATACTTACAATAATTAGTCGTTTGCACTTGTGTGAGTGCTGACTTTGTGTTATAGGAGAGGAGAATTTTATCTTGTTTATGTCGAGCGTATGCCCATGAATGAGCATCCGAGAGGTTGTCAATTCTACGAGAGGGGGCTCTCTTCAATCATTGTGGTGGAGGGATCGGGAAGTCTAGAGACTGTAGAGAAAAGCAGCATCCATGTAAGACTGTTGCCCGATTTCTGCTGATGGCGCGTCGTATATGAGTGAAGCTTCCAGGTCAAGTAAGTGGGGTGTTGAGCACCTCCACCAGCTGTGAAGCCAGAGTCGGGTAGGGTGCCAGTTCTGTGACGATCGATAGAGATTGATGAGGGACTACTGTAGCTGGAGAGATGTCAGTACAGAGTAGAGCGAGGAGAGAGGGATTTAGGTGTGAGAGCGTGAAGTAGACGTAGGAGAGGAGACCGTGAGAGAGCATCTATCGAGTGTCGAGATGAGTGCGAGATGAGCAGTAGTGTATGCGAGGTGATGAGTAAGATCTACTTTTTCTCCTACGCTTACAATATATAGTTGAAAAACTATTAGACTGTGATGGTCTGTAACTTTAAAAGCACTTTATCTGCTCTCTGCCTTCATTGAACCATGAAGAAGTATATGTTAATCTGTTAGTGTTCTGAATACAATTATCAAAGACTACTAGATGATGTCTATACCCCGTAAAGAAACAGCTATTTCTAGTATCCGTATAATCTGATAATCGTAAGATATATATATAGAATTCCACAATATTACACAGCAAAACAAAACAAACAAACCAAAAACACAAAACAAACCACGACAGGCCAAAACACACACAATTTCAAGTACAGCTCTCTGTAATAACTTACAAGCATATTCTGCGAGAAAGTGTGTCGCACAAATTTCAGTCGTGGTCAAAGCTCCTCTATAAGTGTACGAAGCTGACCAGAAAAATTCTAATAAACAAGTCCTCAACTGGACAGTAACTGAGTGTGTGAGAGGACATTAAGAGTGTGATAGTTCATATCCTTAGTTAAAATAAGCGAAGATATAATCATTGGAAATTTTTAAAGAAGGTTCTACAGTAATTACTCAAATGACCAGCTTCATGAAAAGCTCAAATAACTCAGGAAACAAGACTTTTAATGGGAATGCGTTAAGGCTCATGAATAAAGAAACATTCTAGGTCTGGGGAAAGGATGTTCAAGTGCTAGGGTCAAGGAAGCAGCTGGATCTTGCGTTAAGTAAACACATACGGAAAAAGTTTGCGAAACTACGTACACTACGACCAGCCAAACCTAGTGTAAGTAGGGTTATGATACAGCAGACATGTGTTGAATGAAGGCAGTAAAACAAGAAAACATTTCGAGATCGGGACTCGATCCTGAAAACAAGACAAACAGGAGCATGCCGTTTATACGCCTTTGCAAAACGGCTTGGCTGGTGGATAACCAGGGTTATCTGAGTGCTGTGCGTGGATATAGGATAATAACTCTATAATAAGTAGGCTAAGAGGAGTGTAATGAGGGCACTGTAGAGTGAGAGAGAGAGTGGTGGGTGGATAATCAGTCGCTCTCTATGACTCCGCACCGATCACAGTAGTATACTACCTATAATAATATATATATATATAGAAAATCTCCTCACCATGTATCCTGTGTCATCTCCCACCAGCACCAAATCAACATATAGTGAACTAGACTCGCACGAAAATCATGAGCGCGAAATATATATATAGTATATATATATATAACGTATTCGAAGAATATCTCGTATTAACCTCCCAGTACGTCTCTCGCGCTCCGCAGATTGTCCTCTCGTGTATTGGTGTGCAAGATCTCTTACACTACGCTCTCTCCCGTGTGCGAGAAGGCAGCCACGAAGCACATCCAAGTTAAATGTACTTATTAGTCCGGAGGAGAAATTTGGTGAGGACCTTATCAATGCACGTGCGAATGCGCGTACATAATTCATATCCAATGTAGCAAATTGGGAGTATGGGACTGACATATTTCATATCCATGGGCCCGTTTTAGAGAAACTCTTTTATCCTGTGAACGACTATAGATTTTAATATCAGCCAATCAGAATCTATCAGAGGATTATAACATGCGAAGGTCGACAAGTAATAATTGCGCAACGCATTGGCTTTTCTGAGCATCCGTACAATAGCTCACCTCACGATTCTAGTCATTTTTGTGAGATGCTATCAATTAAACAGTTTGCAAACACAAGTTTCTCCATATGACAAAAAGCGGTGTTGGTGTCTCAAGGACCTTCTTAACGGATACTACAGCGTAGTTGTATCGTAGCAACAAATCTCATAGTGTCACAGAAAACAGCGAAATTTACAACCATATGTCCAATTGAAATCTTTCGAACCAGGTAAAGAGCTTCATTCTAGCCGAAGAAATGCCACACCTTCAATGGTACTTGCCATCCACAGTTGATCTGTCATAAATGTGAAAATGGAGGTGGCACAGGGAACTAAAAGGGTTCAGTCCGCTTGGAAAATCCTGGCTCTATTGCCGATGTCATGCAATGACATCGGGGATCTAACAGCCCCCTTTATCAACCTGAAGGAGATATACGTTGATTGAACACACACTTGCTCTGCCCTACAGGTGGGCCATTGTCTGCCAACATTTACATGACAGCGAGAGAGATGCGCCAAACAGCTAAAGGATGAATTAGAATATAGACTTCATTAACTGTGTGCCAGTAAAAACAATGCCATTCCCCAGTAGGGGTCCTTTTTAGGGTGAATTTTTCGCGGGGGTCAAAAATAAAAACTGGATATCTCAAAAACTTTTTAGTCCTTTTGGAGTACCGACAAAATTCATGAACTAGTTAATCGGATTGAATGCTTGTAATACATTTGGCCGGCTGCCGGTCAACCAATGAAAGCTCAAAACAAAAAACAGTCACGCTAAACACATGAGTCACCAATGTACAAAAATTCCTTCTTACTCCTGGTTGTCATAGACAAGGCAAATATTATTTCACTTAGTACGCTTTGAATGAGCGTTCTGCAGTCCAAATATCAGAATACGGTAAACCTTACAGAAAAAGTTATCAAGAGAGGAAAACAAAAGTCCAAACTGTGAGAATCATTGATAACACTTTGAGGCACTCCTCGGAATCCTCAAGCTTTGCAAAGCCATTTAAAATTGCAATATTTAATCAAACGTGTATAATTATGTACAACTGAAAGAAAGAGATTAAAATCAAAAATTAAAATCCGGGGAGAGAGGGATTGAAAATGGGGAATGTTGGTTAGGAAGGAGTAAATAGGAAAGAGCCGTGAACTTTACTAATTTCTGCTTTGCCCACGAGTTTTTGAGCCAATTTTTCGCAACGTACTCGATCGTGTATAACAAAGCGGGACTGACCACGCCGATCATTTGCGTCTGTGGCGCCGCCTCGTAAAACACCCGATCATAACTACCGAATTAATTTGAATGATAATATTTTCTTATGCACGAATTTTTATGTCTTCAAGATGCGATAATGAGGTATTGAATAAAGCCTAGAGAGTCGATCTAAATCATAGAATAAAATGTACGAGAGTACTGATATAAATGAGTAACTTGAGAGTAGCTCGTCGAGAGACCGGGATAGGTTAAGGTTTTTTATCTAGCTAAGTAGTGCAAAAGATCCGTGATAAGTGACGGTAGCAGAAGAGATATGCGGAGTTGGATTGGTGGAATAAATGAGTGTTGTATGTGTTTGGGAGTGGATGTCCTCAGCGTGACAGGCGAATTGCAATGGCAAATCTGTAAATAGTTGGATAAATGTACTGCCTGAGGCCAAAGAGAGAATGGGGGATACTATATGCTTAAAAAATTCGTGGATTACAGAGGGGCTGCGGTAGATTACATGAAAATGCAAGCCGAAATGCTCAATATCACAACTTATTGGATAGCGATGAGACAAAGACATTGAATAGAGTAATTGATAAGCAATATGAATTGACAAAATGCACTCGAAAGAAGTTCATAACGAAAAAAGAAGTACACCGATATCAGAAAAGGTTAGATCGAAGGACTGCCTAGATGAACTGAGCGAGACGGTCGCGTGAGGCGGAGGCAAGTGGCGCGAGGAAAAAGAGGCGTAGATATGGGAGTAATGAAAAGAGGAGAAGCACTGAGCAATTATGATTTAAATAATTACAAAATTTATATATTATACAGTAAATAGAAATGTCTCAAATCCAACATATATGTATTTACAGAGGAGTTTATGGAAGAGAGCTGCGAAAAAGTACACAAAAAAACCGACCTTTTCAATATCCTGGTCATTCGACACAGACTAACAGTATCAAATATAATGTGGTTTGAGTGTCAATCAGTAATCCCCGGCCACCTGCCCGCGCATCGAAGAACGCTCACCCTGACGCAGGCCGCGGGACAGCAACGCCGGTCTCCAAAGAACAAACCTTACCGGCGCGAGGTAATGAAAGGCCGTGCGTTAAAAACGGCGACTCCAAGACCCACGACGTCCGATCCCCAATTTTGAGTGGTACTTACAAAGTTAAGCCCAATCTAGAGTGCGGACATTATAAGAAAAAAGACAACAGTACCAATTGGCGAAGGGTAGAGAGACTCTCTTAGCACCCTCACCGGGGTCGCTTCCACCACAATCCCACAGGGAAAAAGGTACACCAAGCGAGAGCACCAGAAACGCTCTCCCTGTAAAAAAGTTATATTGTGTTATAGTTTTGTCCTAAGAACAGACAAACAAGTGGGAAGAGTGCTCCATATAGGACGAGGATGGGTACATTCCACCAGGATAAGCAGGTTCTGAGGGCAACAAACCCACCGAGTCTCCCAAGGTTTTAGGTGTACAAGGAATTCGGAGGGCAATGAAAATGCCGAAGAAAATCGTGTTTT